TACAAATATATATATATATATATATATATATATATTAAAATCTAGCCACGTAAATGATACTAGACAACTGATTCAATCCACACAAATTGTATTAAGGTTTTAACATTCTGATAAATATTGAAATGGGACTTCATCAGATTTTGTGAGAGAAAATGAGAAGAATTATTATTTTATGTGGAGGAACATTAGTGGCACATTTGTAACAATTATTTTTAACAATTTTTATTATTTGTCAAAATTTAAACTTATAAAATCATTAATAAAACTTGTTCAATGAGAATAACAATTTTTTATTATTTTCAATTTATAATAAAGCATGTTCAACATAATACTTCCTCATTCTATAATTAGTCAATATTATCAGACAAATCATTAATGTGTGCATTATAAAAGTTAGAAATTTTGCTTTAAATAAGTATTGAACTCAGGTCCTATAAATTTCTAAAAGATAAATAAATTATTACACTAACATGTTTTTGATTATTAAATATAAGAAAAATATTTTTTATACTATATAAATAATTTAAAATATATTTAATAATATATTAATTTATGTAATTCAACTAATGACTTACTGACTTAATATCCAATTCAAGTCAATCACTAATTCAACTATGATAATATTAATAATAAATATTTTTTTAAATTATTTTACACGCATGAAAAAAAAATTAATATTAATTTTACAAAATTAACCATGTCATTAATATTCCTTACTAAAAATAATGCAATACAACATTCTAAAAATACTATTAAAAGTATAAATGATAAATAAATAATTAATATTACATTAAAAATTTAAAATGACTTATTTTTTCTTTTACCCGACACTTATCATGAAATAAGATTTTGTACACACTACACAAATCCTCCACTATTACATTGTTTTTTTAAATGACAAGTGATGTGAAAAAAAAGAAGGAAAGAAAAAAAGAGATACAAAGAAAATGAGAATAAAAGTGATATAAAAGAAAAAGTGAATGGATAATTATAATTTTTCTTACTTTTCAGCCTTACATTTTTTTAGAATAATAAAATATGTGAACGTTAAAAAATGTACAAGACATCAATCTAGAACCATCTTCTTCAACTACTTCCATCACATATGTACAAGATATATATTTGGAAATATCAAGTAGAAGGCTTTGTAAGCATTAAGGTTAGCCTAGTCATTGGATAAGGCGGGATTGAAGTAATAGAAGCATGAGAACTTAGGTTCAATTCTCATTGCGACCATCTTTATAATATTTTCTATCTGAACCAAAAAAAAAAATATATATATATAGAAGACTTTGCCAAAAGATCATCAATCAAATTGTCAGAAAGGGGCCAAAAGATATTATAAAATATTGAGACGAATTTATTACACAATGATTTTATTATTCACAATGTAGCAATACACTTCTAATAACAAAGACATGAATACAAGGCGAAGTTATAAATGAAAAAGGTACTAGTATGTGGTTTGTGGTGGTGTGTGTGGGGCCGGGGGGGAGCAAATCATTATTTGGCAGCAAACACCAGTTTTGGTGTTTCAGTCATCGATTTTCCTCATAAATGAATGAGGTACGAGCATTTGGAGAATTACTTACTGGATCAAAGAAATAAGTAACATTGTCTCCCTCTAGGGAAGTGAGCAAAGACGTGAATACAAGGCCAAGTTTTCCACATCAGATTATGAAATGAGAGAGCGAGGAAGAACTTTATATGGGTTGAGTATGTGATTGGGGTCCAGCAAATTCTTGATTGAAGCCATCAGTTGCACCTGTCCAATTTGATACTAGTTTAGACATTCAATTCACAAGTTTACATTCTCAAACTTCTACTTGAGTCAATAATAAACATACAGTTTCGCCAGATTTGCTGTAGAAAATCTCGTTAGCTTTCATTAGTCCCACACCATGCTCTGCGCTAATACTACCACGGTGCTTAGATGTCCATTCATATACAAAGGGTTCAATTTGCGACAAAATCTGCAAATTTTAATACTTATAAATTATAATGTTACAAAAAGAATAATTTCATAACCAAACAGCTTTTTTGAGTTTACTGGAGCTACCTTGTCATCATATTGAGGAGTAGAAATATTTAAATGCAAATTACTATCTCCAAGGTGACCATATCCAATTACATTAGCCGTATTACCTACAGTTCAAAAATAAATAAATAAAATGCAAAATCGTGATCAATTATGCATGATTGTGATACAACAGATAACATATATTCCATAAAAGCCTCAAGTATGCATAGACTTTCTAGGACACAAATAAAGAACTTAAGCATAAACTTAGCATAGCCCTTTTCTGCTAATTTCCTATCTGAACTATACCACAAACTTGGAGAAACAAAAATATAGCAACTAAATGGCAACGTTAGCCAGTTCCTTACCTAGTCTAGAGCGCATTTCTTCAACAAGATTGTACATTTGTTCAACAGGTATTGATAAATCATACTTGTAAACAGCTCCTGCTCTCATCAATGCCTCTGATATACCCTGAAATCATTAGATAACATCTAATATAACCAAATTCTACAATAGTATTCTCATAGAAAACCATTAAAGTTTTTCATGTTAAAATGAAATTTTAATTACTGATGACAAATCATTGTTGAATAATAAACAGAGGAAATAGCACTTATGAGGGGGGAAATGTGTAAAAACATTGTCATTCTATGTTCAAACTTCAAACATCTAATTATTTTGTCAATGTCAATATACTGAGGAGAAATGTCTGTAGTGTGTAAAACAAGCAAATGGTCTATACTGAAAAAGCATCCACGAGAGCCTAGTGGTGACAGCAGAAATCAGAATAAATATGATCATTGATCAACTACCTCATAAAAATGAAAACGAATCATATGAGCAAATTTAGCAGTTCATACCAAATAAAGAGTAAAAGTATGAAACCATGAAGTTTAAATTGAAACCTTCTCTAAGGATAAAGCAGCAAGTACAGCCTTAGTAATCAAGGAGGCGGATAAGAGCATGTAGATAACAAAAACTTCAATATGACATTGGTATAAAAATTCCAAATAGGTGTATAGCTGACCTAACATGGTCCAGCTTGTTGATTTTAAAAAAACGTAAGTATGAATTCATAAGAGGTAAAAACACTGACTACAAAATTTGGAAAATCAGCCCAGAGAAATAAGGTCACTAGCAAAGCATGGCTGAGATACAGAGAGATAAAGTATTTTTCCAAAAAAGAATCATTGAGTGAAAAATGTCAACCTCACGTAGATGCCAAAAAGATGATGCTTGGTTTATGTCTTGAGCAAGAACACCATCAGATATCAATTCATTTTCCATGGAGCCAAGTAGAAACGCTTCAAGCTTTTGTCTGGAGGTATCAAAATAAAATGTGACATCATATATGAAGGGACTTAATTACATACTCAGAATTGATAACTAAAAAAGACAGTTAAGGAACATGTTCAAGCAAATTTTAAGGTTCATAGCATAGAATACTTCATTTGGATAAACTCAGGATGCTTTAGTGAAATGATAGAGGAAGATATTTGAAATTTAATAAACCCTGAAACACATTCTACCACCCAACCCCTAAAAAAATTGAAGTAGCTGGTGCATATTTTTAATGCCAGCAGAAGCCTGAGATGAAGAAGGAACAAAATGCAGCATTGAACAAATCCATTAATATACCAAATTACACTAGTCTCTGTTGAGGATTGCTAGTTACAAATTAAATAGAGGTATATAATTGATCAAAATTCAAAACAGCGGAAGTCAAAGTAATTTACTACGGTAAAATGATAAAGTCCACCAAGTTAAAATGCAAGCACTTTATTCACACACGCACACAAAATTGCAAGGACTTATTACTTGTCAGAAGATTCATCACTGCCTGTTGTCTCAATCAAAACATAATAGTCATGCAACGTGGGTAATGGATTTCGTGCACCTTCCAGGTGATTTAAAACCTGTCAGAAGTCCAATCAGATCAGGATGACTATGTCCCAACCAAGGGGAAAAGAAAATGAAGTTACAAAGTTTTAATAATTTTCTCGGTAGCAGGACCTAGGTTTCTATACGAGTAATTTGTAAGTATCCAGAATAAATAAATAAATCTAAACTAAGAGAGATGTTATGATTGGTGAAAATTCTAAACATAGCAATGATTAGTAAATAGTAATTCATGTAAAGTTCATAATGAATTCCATGACAATTTAGCCATCTGGTACACTATCATTTGCACATCAATTTCTATGATGCAGGATTGCGACACTATAATTTGCACTCTTGTACAGGGGTATCCGGTAATACCAAGCATAAAGTTAACACCAAACATAAAAGTTAGATGAAGTTTTAGCATATGAGTATGCATCAAGACAACTTCAATGCATTATAAGCAGCAATCATCACACCATATTAATTATATCACAAAATATCACTTGAGGTTACCAAATTCATAGACTGGCCATCTAGAAATTCAAATGCAGACAAAATCTCCCCAAGTTTCCTTTTTGCTTCCTGTAGTAGTTTCTGATAAACACAGAAAAAAATAAAATAAAATAATCTGATAAGATGAATTCCTATTTCATGCTGAAAACAAAAGTGACAATAAAAATTTCAGATAATTTTTACTTTTTTAGCAGTATAAATCATTAAAAAAGATAAACCAGGCAAAAAGAGTACAATACATAAGCTTAGACAAGAATTTCACCTAATTGGTAACAGAAAGTTCCTATATAGTTTAATATCTTGTCATTAGAGACCTATTTTCACCTTGCTTATTCAGAGCTACTAGTGGTAAGATGATGATAAGAAAATTAAAATGAATTTGAAAGTTGAGGATGTGTTAAGTATAAAAAAGTATCCTGTTTTCATCTCATGATTTCAAATTTATAGGAAAAATGGTGAAAACAACAAAATACTAATTTTACCAATTCTTGAACAAATCATTGAAAACAAAAAGGCCTTTTTGTAATTATTTGTGAAAACATGAAATAGAAAACGAGAACATTTTCTCTAACCAAATAGGCACTAGGGTCCTCATTAATGAAAAAGGAAAAGAAAAAATATATATTATGCTTCCCAATCACTCTGTATAATATTTATCAAAATCATATAAAGGGCAATCAATTTAGGTAACACATAGAAGTGACTAAAGCAATGCAGCACCAGAATAAAACATCAATTAGTTTAAGAAATTCCATAAGCAATTTTTTTTTAATATTATTTATAGAATGAGTTCAATGGGATCATTGATCATACCTGACAGCTGCTATAATCTTTGCATGCAAGAAAAGCCACATTTACAGAAGATAACTTTGGTGGGGTAAGTATTGAAACCTTAGTAACAATTCCCAAGGAACCTTCACTTCCTACATCATTGGTAAGTTAATTTACAATCAGATTATCTACTTGTTTCCAAACTTCAATTGTTGTTCACTACATACCTATAAATAGATGTTTCAAATCATAGCCAGTATTATCTTTGCGCAGTGTCTTAAGCATGTCAAGTACAGTACCATTTGCTAGAACAGCTTCAACACCTGCCAGGCAATCAGAAGTTTGCTTCAGAATAAATTTAGTATAATTGGAAGAAAAAAAAATGGATTAACAATGCCACCCAAGTTTGCAATATATCAAGCAACTCTTTGTGCTTTTATACTCCAACCTGAAATCGATTCCACCTTTCAACCAGACTCCATACCAGAAACGATTAGTGAATACAATCATCTAGCAGTGATGCACTGATTTTAGAAGTACTAAATTCAGATGATATAGAAAAACAAGCAAAAGTTAACCTGTTTGAATCATCACGTTTAATGAATTAAAACTATTTTCTTACCAAGTACATTTCCATGAAGGGATCCATAACGAACAAGACGCAACCCACCGGCATTAGTTGAAACATTTCCACCAATCTGGCAACTACCTTTTGCACCTAAGTCTAGTGGCATAATAAATCTGAATGAAAAGTGTACACAATTTAAATACAGAAAGCATATATCAAAGCTATGAGTTTTAAATCTTAAACGGGCAAAGAAAGGGCAACTGATCATCTAAAATTTTGAAGACATGAGTTATGACACTGCACTTGCACCAGCACTACTCAGAACTTCAAGAAAATAACAAACCAAAGAGAACCCACAGTTCTGCTTCAGAATTATTACTTCAAAATAGGGAAGAAAAACAATTACTCCTTCCACCCTACAATAATTGCAGTTTAAGGTTTCTATACATAGATTAAGGATAACAATAAATATATCACTTTTTGATATAATTTTACTAAAATAGTTCAATCTTTCAATAAATGCATTACTCAATTGTGGTAGTTGAAGAATTTATAAAGGGGTAAATTAAGAAAAAAGTAGTTAATATTACATTGAAAAGTGAGAACATTATTCATTTTTGAACTTTTTCTAAATGTTAAAACTGCAATCATTGCAGGATAGAGACGGTAGTTTGCTACTATCGTTAACAGTAGCCGGCATAAGATTTCTCAAATTTTAAAATAAATAGATAAAAACTTTATTTACAGTTCTATGAAATTGATCCAAATTATAATAACTTTATAAACTGAAAAGGATTACCCTTCATTGTCCAGGAATGATATTATATTTTCCAATATGCACCCAGCTTCACATACCAATATTCCACTAACCTAAAAAAGACATCGGCAGAAACTTCAGAATTAAATATACAAACCAGCCATTTTAACATTTGAATCGTCTTTAATTCCATTGAGACAATTAATGAAAATTTGATGCAAATGGTTGTTGCAAGGTGACTAGCAGAATTAGATATCGTTTGCTCTTAAGAGGAGAAACTGTTGCATTGAGCTTTGCTGCATATGGGTGTTTGTGAATGATGATTCACATAGTTTTGCTTAATTTTTATACAGATACAATTTTCCAGCTGTATATGGGTGTTTGTGAATCGTGATTCACATAGTTTTGCTTAATTTTTAAGCAGAAACTGTATAGGGAGAATCTTGTTTTTAGGAATAGTTTGTTTTTTAATATGGTCACGTAAGTTATACGTGGACTAAGTTTTATGTATTCTGTTTGGCTATATAATAGCCTTCTTTGAAGAAATAAAGCAATTTCAGTTTTGCACCAGAATATCCATATACTCTTCAAACTGGTATCAGAGCTCCACGGGGCCTGATACACAAGCTGCAGCTTATCAGTGAAAACCACAAAGTTTGAGAATGGAAAGCGAGAAACTATCCACCAAAATCCCTTACTTTGATGGTCAACACTATGACCATTGGAGTGAATTAATGGAAAATCTACTCTGTGCCAAGGGACTTTGGAACTTGGTCAAGACTGGTGTTGAGGAGCCGGTGGAGGGCACAACTCTGACTAATGAACAGTTGGAAAAGTTGGAGAAATCCAGACGTGCGGATCATCAGGTAAAGCATTACCTTTTCCGAGCTATTGATCGAACTATTTTCGAACAAATTTTGGACAGGAGTACGTCCAAAATTGTTTGGGATTCATTGAAACGTAAATTTGGAGGAAATGCACGCGTAAAGAAATCCATGCTTAATGCATTGAGACGGGAGTTTGAGGTACTGGAAATGATAGACACCGAAACCATAACAGAATATTTTGCTCGGGTAATGACAGTGGCCAACAAGATGCGCAGCAATGGAGAAAATATGCCTGACTCCAAGGTGGTTGAAAAAATACTTCGCACTTTGACAGATCGTTTCACTTATGTGGTGGTCTCGATTGAGGAATCACAGGACACAGAGGCCATGTCCATTGACGAACTACAAAGTTCCTTGGTGGTACATGAGCAAAAGTTTAAACGAATCACCCGAGATGATGAGCAAGTACTCACGTCAGAAAGCAATCGAGGTAGAGGTCGAGGAAAAGGTAGAGGGTCCAACCAAGGTCGTGGACGTGGTAGCGGAAGACAGTCTTTCTCAAAGGCAAATGTGGAATGCTTCAAGACATAGCTGCCAAAACAAAATAAGACTACTTTTAGGAGACAGTCAGGGTTTTATTTGATTATTAGTTCTCAACGTAACTGGTCATCTGTTAGGGTTTTATTTACTATTGTTAAAACCTTTTGCTTTAACATTCAGCCAGTTGGAAATTCTAATGATATAATTTGATTTCTGTCTCTTTCGGTAGTGAGATTTTTGTTGCAGTAGCATCTCGTGCCATATTTCTATTTGTGTTCAATTTAGGCAGGTTCTCTTATGTTGCAGCGCAGCTTTCATATCTTTTTTTTTTTGAACAACAAAGAAATATTTTATATAATAAAATGGTACAAGAGATACCAATGTCGAATACATGTTTGCATGCGGAAGACACAACAAAGTTCGGCCTAATTTAAGTTACAAATTAGCCTCCAACTAAGAGGTCCAAAATCAACTATTTGCATACTAGATTACTCTAAAGACTCCTCAAAACCCCATCAAAGATCTTAGGAAATGATACAAAGTCCAGGATTAGCTTCCCATTGACTGAATGAATAGTTGAACGACTTATCAAAACTTGTCAGCCAAGACCATGAGTATAACACAGTTTGCTGCAGTAAACGATTCCCGTCAAGGTGCTCCCCTTCAAACACATATTTATTCCTAGCTCTCCAGATGCACCATAATATTGCAGTCCATATAACATGCCATTGGTCAACCCTCTTTTTAGACAATAGTATACTTGGATGAGCAAAGAAGTTGCCTTCAAATGAACTAGATAGAGGAGTCGGGCTATCCAACCACAACAACCATTTTTTCCAAATCGGGTCAGTGCTGCTGCAATATAACAATATGTGTTCCGACGACTCGATATCCGCATTGCAGAAGGGGCAGGTTGCTTGATCCCTCAAGACTATCACATTTCTCCTCAACAAGTTTTCCTTTGTAGGCAAAGCACCCATGAACAACCTCCAAATGAAGCATTTAACTTTGGGTGGAACTTTTATATCCCAAGCTACTGCAGCAACATTTGGCAACTGTGATGAGGGGCCACGGTCCATCAAAGCCCGATACCCAGATCTTACTGAGAAGCATCCCGAGCTATCCAGTGTCCAAAGCCTTGAGTCTTGTACACCCTCTATTAGTACCCTTGCCTCCACTATATTCATAAACTGTTGCACATCGTTTAATTCCCAAGTGAACCAAGCTCTTCTCCACTGAAATCTCCATTGCCACCTTCCTCTACTCCAATGACCCATATTCGCCACCACGTTTGACTTTTGCAATGAATTTGAGAAAATCCTTGGGAATCTATTCGCTAGAGGCTCTGCCTCTGCCCATGCATCAGACCAGAATCGGATTCTGTCACCCATCTTTTTTTTTTGAACAACAAAGAAATATTTTATATAATAAAATGGTACAAGAGATACCAATGTCGAATACATGTTTGCATGCGGAAGACACAACAAAGTTCGGCCTAATTTAAGTTACAAATTAGCCTCCAACTAAGAGGTCAGATCGAGCTGAGGCAACAGCTTACATGGTTCAAAATGTCACCGGTGATGACCCGATTCTGTTTGAAGAAGCTGTCCAACATGCAAAATGGAGAGAAGCTATGGATAGTGAAATACAATCACAAGAGATACCAATGTCGAATACATGTTTGCATGCGGAAGACACAACAAAGTTCGGCCTAATTTAAGTTACAAATTAGCCTCCAACTAAGAGGTCCAAAATCAACTATTTGCATACTAGATTACTCTAAAGACTCCTCAAAATCCCATCAAAGATCTTAGGAAATGATACAAAGTCCAGGATTAGCTTCCCATTGACTGAATGAATAGTTGAACGACTTATCAAAACTTGTCAGCCAAGACCATGAGTATAACACAGTTTGCTGTAGTAAACGATTCCCGTCAAGGTGCTCCCCTTCAAACACACATTTGTTCCTAGCTCTCCAGATGCACCATAATATTGCAGTCCATATAACATGTCATTGGTCAACCCTCTTTTTAGACAATAGTATA